GGGAATTGCTCATTCATTGTAAATCAGATCCCAATAGTCCAAATACCACTAAAATGAAAAAAAAAAAAAGCAGTATCCTGTTTTCTACATTAGATGCAATGACATATCCTATTTTTTTTTCCACATGGTGAAAAAGGCTGGGGAACAGATATTGCATTAAGATGCAGAGACAATAGTGTAATCGACAATAATACTAGACAAAATGTAAGAACACGAGTCACACAAATGCAGTATTATGGATTTCATCTCTCTGTGAGGGACACGCTCAATACTATTTTAAATGCAGGAAAATTAACTCAAAATATTCAAATATGGAGGCCAACCTGATAAATTTCACCAAAGCAAACCAATCTAAGTTGAGAGTTAAAAAATATAGTAGTTTGATGGATTATCTCATATCTAGATCTGAAAATGACAATGTGCTGATCATCTTTTGAGGGAGTCCCAGAAACATGCAGCAGTGATGTCAGGATGCTATGGAAATGATGATGAAGTATGCCACGCCTGATTTATTCATAACCATGAAATGCAACCTCAAATGGGCAAATATTACAAACAATTTACAATGCTGGCAAAAAGTTGAAAATAGACCTGACTTGATAGCCAGAGTTTTTAATATTAAACTGAGTGTTCTTTTAAATGATATATGTAAATTCCATTTATTTGGTAAAGTTATAGCTAAAATTCATGTATTGAATTTCAGAAACGCAGACTGCCTCACGCTCATATATTATTTATATTAGATAGTAAATCCAATTATGAACAGATGACATTGACTGTATAGTTAAAGCAGAAATTCCAGATGAAGACTTTTTCAACTGTAAAATCAATCATGGTACATGGACCATGTGGAATTCAAAATCCAAATAGTTCATGTAGTCAGACATCCCCTGAGGGATCCCCAATTGAAGAGGGTGCAGACCAGGCTGAGGGACATTCCCCTCCCTGCCACTAGTTATTAATAACAAACTACAACATTCGCCAATGACTGATTATTATAATCGTGTTGCATTCATTTCCCTTATGCACACATGCACCATTTCTCTCCACTAGCAGCAAATATTTTAGTAGCCTATTGCCATGTCATTAATCTTATGCTGACTTGTTTGGAGTGCGCAACAGGAAATTTTTTCCTTTTGGAGAACAAGAAAAATAGGTTTATTTGCGTTACGCTTATTAACCTGTTAACTGGGGAGTTCCCTTTTTAATGACGCAACCTGTAACGGGCGTGTACTCTTTCACTAGGACGTGTCAGTACGTCACGCCCGGAGGACGTAATTTCATATTATTTTTTTTATTTATACTTAATGAAAATAAATGAAATATTTTCGTTTATTTATATATATAAAACACAAAGGAAAATACAAAATTACAAAAAAAGTAGAATACTGACAAAAAAAAAATGGACACGTCGAATTAAAAAATTATAAATTTTACAAACAATGATAAAGATTACAAAAAATAGCCGAAACCGGTTTGGCTCAATGGATAGAGCGTTGGCCTTCGGGCCTAAAGGTCCCGGGTTCGATTCCGGTCAAGGGCATGTACCTTGGTTGCCGGCACATCCCCAGTGGGGGGTGTGCAAGAGGCAGCTGATCGATGTTTCTCTCTCATCTCATCGATATTTCTAACTCTCTACCTCTCCCCTTTCCTTCCTTTCTGTAAAAAATCAATAAAATATTTTTAAAAAATTACAAAAAAATATATACTGTCCCTCTCGGGGTGCAACATATATTTCAAGGACGTATTCATATTGTTCCCGATATTGTTTACGTTTGACGTATTTATAAGTCCCGCTTGGTTAACAGGTTAATTTGTGTAGTTATTCAGTGTCTGATAAGTTAATGTTAAAAATATTTTACTAAAATGTCCTATTATTTTATGTTAACAATTACTCATTTATTTCAGCACTTTATATTCAGCATGTCTCTATCGAAATAAACCCATGTTTCTATGAAAATTGAAGCTTTTGTTTTTTTGTGACCCACAAAAACCTAAATCTTATTTATTTGGCCTGTGTTAGCCTTTGAGTTTGACATGCTTGGAGTACAGAAAGTGGGAATGTGAATGACAAGAAGCCCATCCTAAGAAGATATGGGGAAGTACATTCTAGGAGCGGAGACAGCTAGTGCAAAGTCCTTAGGTAGCAATGGCTAACCATTTATAGAATGAAAAAGAGACTAGTGTGGGAGGAATACAATAAGCCAGGGTACAGCTAACAGCTGAGAGACTGGAGATACAGGCTGGGACAGATAAGTGAAGCTCTAAGCCTGTGAAGATGGTTGGTATAAATCTGCAGCAGATAGGAAGGAAACAAAGCAGGAGACTGATAAGATCTGACTTATTAGTACATTCCCCTGATTGCTTTATGAAAGCAGTCTGTAGGGGGCAATGGTGGAGCCAGAGAACAGCAGTCTAGGTGGCAGATGCAGTGGTGGTCAAGGTAGGATGGGCAGTGATGGAGAACGCAGACTATTTCAGGATTATGCTACTAAGGGTGGTCCTTCCTAGACCACTTCAGCAGGCAGCATGTGTTTTCTCTCCTCAAGATGACAGGGAAGGACTTGCAAATACTGTCTGACTTGGAATTTTTGTCTTCAGAGTTGTCAGCAGTAAAATATAAGCTAGTATTTGGCAAGAGAAAGCATAACTTACTTTTAGGGCAGTCTGTATCCTTTTAAAAGAGCTGAGGGAAGAATAGACAGGGATAAGAGAAAAACACACAAAAATTTTTGAGATATATAGTTCTCAATTTACGAGTCTGGAGATGACATTGACCGAGAGTACCAATCCCAGAACATCTGAATAGAAAGGGACCTCAGAGGCCAATTAGTGCAAACCAGCACCTACTACAATAGTTGCTGGTTTGCACTAATTGTTAAAAAGCAATTTTTAACAATTAATTAAAAAGGAATTTTTAACATTTTTTTAAGCTCAGAAGTTAAAAAAGCAACTTTTAACTTCTCTGAACTCAGTTTCCTGACTTGTAAAATTACAATAATAAAACTAGCCACTTTCTGGGGTTGTATAAAGATGAAATGACCTGATATATGTTAAAGGCCCAGCACAGCACCTGGGCAATTTCTTTTGTCCTGAGCCACAACTTCCCCAGCTTTTCTTTTCTTATCTGAGGCTCAGATAGAGTTAGAGTTTGAATCACACAGTAACTTGGTTACTGCCTTGAAATATGGTTAAAATTTTAGGACCCCTAAAGTTCCATTTTTCCCCTCTAGAACCTGTCCTTTGTGGAGAGGCTGAGCTGATGGAGCTGCTAAAAAGTTCTTTGGGGTCAAAATTTGGGGAGTTGGTTTAGACCCATTGTCTTCCCTGCTTCAGTGTCAAGAGCAATGCACTTACCAGGCTGGCCGGATTCGTCCTGTCCCCACATCACAGTCATTCTCACTGAGCTCCTTTCATCCTCTTGCCTCATATACCATCTCTTCCCTCTACTCTCTGAGTTGAGCCTGAGGTCAGTTCAGTCATTCCTAATGACTACTGAGCTTTATAGATTGCTCCCTCTTCTGAACTTCTACAATGTTATAATCCATACTACATAATTCTGCCCTTAACATATATTCTCTCATTGTTTGTTGTTGCTTCACTTGCCCTTGTCTTATCATTCCAATCAGAATAAAAGCTCCTTAAAGCAATTTTACACTTTAGTTGTATCCTCAAGAAAATGTGACAACAATAAGCCCATAGCCTATGGTCAAAAATACCTGTTGACCAACTGGCTGGACTTTTTAGGGTTCTTTCAAGGCAGACTATACAGTAAAAGGCTAAAATAATCCAAGCAATGAGGACAGTTAAAAAGGCATTGAGTGAGCTTCATCCACCAACCCTTAGAGATCAAAGTTGTTATTCAAAGAGGTGTGTGGGAACAGTGGAACAGAAAATACATTATGTGATACCATACTTTCCTTATCTAGACAACTGTCTTAATTTTTTTCCTCCCTGGGTGATGCTTTTCACGAATATAACAAAAGGAACACGTGTCCTAATGGTAAGATAACTTTTCTCAGTTCACCACTTTGGCTCCTTTCTGGTTACTTCTGACTGTTTGACAGCCTGTTTATTCACTAGAAGGAAGGTCTGGATGACTGAAGTAACTATTTCCTAATTGCATGGTATCCCTCTCCTGTATCCTGTATCTCCTGAAAACATTTATGTAATGGATTTAATGTCACCCCTATGAGGACTAACTTCCATCTTCTATTAATCTAGGGCTTTTCGTTCCTTTTGAATCAGTAAGACTAACTTTCATGAAGTTCCTATACCATCTTGCAGACAGGGATGTAGGATCATCAGTGTGACCTTTTTTGATTAATCTTAAAGGGTTTCAGATGGCAGGCATTATTTCCTGTTTAGATAATTTTCTATCTTCTGCCCTATCAAGGACTTTTAACTATCATCAAAGGCCAAGACTTGAACACCACAGTAAATAACATCACAGCACTGTGCCCTGAGTCCTCAATTCACCAGATAGATGCTAGGCTACAGAGAGGTGGGAACAGTGGGCACAATTCTGTCATCTTCAGGAGGCAGAAGTCTGAGAACGCAGGGGCATGGGATCTGGTTTCAACTTGTTGTCACTGACTTTAGGCAAGAAATGTGACTTTTACAGGCCTGTGATTTCCCTTCTCTAAAGCAGAGGGGGGAAAAAACTTAGCTACATCATGTCCCTTATATCTTAAGATCCCACCATAAAGTAAGAAAGCAAATGTTTGTGAAGCCAGGAAAGTGATTTAAGTAAGTGCATACCATTTTCATTACCATCATCAGAGTAATGCTATGATACAGCCTGATGACTTTGGGGAGCTATTTATAAGAGTTTTAGAGAAAAAAACAAAGACTAAAGGGAGATGGATGGGAATGGGTAGGAGAGGCAGAATGATAAAATGTATACAAAAGAGCATAATAAGAGGCCAAAAGATCCGCTCAAATGGAAAAAAGGGCCCTAAGTTCAGTTTTAAGTATGGTCTCAAGTAAAACAGACTCACCGTCCTCAATGTCATAGGCATAGGCCGAGAGGCGCAGCGTGGTGGCACAGTACTCGCATTTGAAGCAGCTCCGATGGAAGAACTTGCCTTCGGCACTCAGTCTTTCCATCACGTAGACCCGCTTCTGGCAAAAATAGCACGTGTCGCTGCCTCCCAAATTCTGTGGAAACTCCTTCTTTACTGAACCCTATAAAGGGGTGTGAGGCACACATGTCAGGGCAATGTCTTCAAGAGCTGCATGGTTCTTTCTTAGGTGAAACCAACCATCACTAAGAGATTTTCTTCTGAGTCTGACTAAGATGCTCACTTTGCTCCTGGCTCTCCCAAAGAGCAGCTACATTACTAGTGACTGTCTCACATGTTCCACATAGCACACAACACCAGTGGATTCTGAATTCATGTGATTCAAGCCAAGAGAAAACCTGAGTTTGTTTCAGAGTTTTATAAAACTCAAACCAAGTTTTTTTTTGACACAACTGTTTTTGAAGGTAACATAAAAATATATATTATGTGTTCATGTAGTTCTAGAGCTATCACTTTTAGAGATATTAAAACATACAACATTCTAATTAAAACAACTATCACTTCCTAGGAATTCAGCTACAAAATTCAGACAACCTGAAAAAAATTACCATTTGGCACATACTTTGTGTTACTACACTACTTAGAATGAAGGAGGTGTGTTTGCCATAGCTGTGTTATATCTAGAGACAGTGTCCTTAGTATATATCTTACCAGTTCCTTCTTGTCTAGAAGGGTTTTGGGTTGTTCTTTCCTTTGAAGCTGATTGGCTATCTGCTCAGCCAATGAGCTCACTCCACCCGTGTACATCTTTATATACTTCTATTGGTTGGAGATTATAAAATGACCAGAATGAAGGGAAATGGAAGGAAAAAATAAATAAATTAAGAAGACAGGAAAAAACTCTTTGAAAGATATAAAGTGAATTCAGAGTGCAGCAGCAAACCATGCCCACACAGTGTACAGACAAAGAAACAAGGTGGTAAGAAACACAGGTGTCAATGTCCACATAGAGCACTCAGAAGAGGCAGGAGCAATTAAATCCATTAAGGAAGAGCATAGTCTTTCAGGTCTTTTTGGAATATATAGTGTTGTGGAATTGGGAGGTAGGAGGTTGGAATGAATGCAAATACAGAAAAAAGTAAGAAGGGCCTATATCCTGGTGACTGAAATTACATATAGAGAACTTGAGAGGAATGATGCCCATCCAAACAGCGGATGTCAGACTGTTGACAGCATGATTCAAGGATCTGGTGGCTTGTGAAGTTATTTCCTCATTTAAAAAGCTCATTCTTGCAAAAGCTGATGCTCTACTTGGCTAATAGATAACTTTCTTCCTCATTATTAATACTTCATTCAAAAGCCCTGTCACAAACATAAAATATTCCTGAGCTTTATCTGAAAGACCCCTTCTCAGCCTATTCTCATTGATGATTTTGTGTTCCACCTAGGCACTAACACCAAAGCCTTACAGGCTGGGTTGAGCATCTTAGACATAGCTGCAGGAGGCTAACACCTGTAGCATATACACAAGTTACTCAGTTAAGTCTTGGGTAGTCAGAATATGTTTCTATTCCACAGAATTTTTTTTAATAGGTTGAAACAAGATAAATACCCCAATCTACTCAATCCCTTTTCCCTAACAATATTGAAGTAACAGAAAGAAACTATCAAGTTTCCATTGTAAACATTCCTGCTAGGAAACCTAACTTCAAGTCTGTCCCCAGGGAAAGAGGTCAAAGTCTTGCTGGCAGTCCTTTAGAGATTCCATGCCCAGGTTAACCTTCCTGGGTGGGACACTTCTCTCATAAACTATGTGGAGTAGGTTCTGCCTACCAAGTGTGAGGAGCCTGACCCTAATTCTGACTTAGAGCACACCAGAAGCAGTTGCCTTGAGATGCCAATAACTCTAGTTAGAAATTGGTTTGCATGGACAAACACAAAGCCACATGTGTGGGAATCACTGGCCTGAGCAGTGGCATGCCCTGGGCTAGCAGGAACTAATAAGAGAAGCACTGTAGGAGAACACTAACTTTATGTAAAAATGGGCAAACAATTCTCTAAGGTTTAGCTGGAACTGAAAAGTGAGTTATATTTTTTTATTTAAGTTAAGGAGATTTTCAAGAATTGTTGCTATTTGCTCTTTAATGCTATAGCATTATAGTGGTTAAGAATAATAAGTGGCTTAAGTTAAACTTTCTTCAGATTAAAGTCTTTAGGAGAGCTGAGGCCTGGGACAGATAGACAGCAGGCAGAGTTGAGCAGATTGTTTAACAGCTTCATTCATTTTGCAACAGGTAAGTGAGGGCATGGGCCAGATGTCAAATACGTGGCTGGGAAACCGAGCAAGCCCTTTTCTTGCACCAGAAACCAGCAGTCATTACATCTTATAATCAGCAAAGACAGTTCAGGGCTGCCGGCCTGCAAAAGCATTTGTCACATTCAGTTCTCAGTGATGTGATAATACTGACAAACAACCCCCCAAAAGAAGTTCTATTTGTTTCTGGCATAAAAAAACAGAGTTTCCTTCTTCCTATTCTTAGGAAATAGCACAGCATAGCAATCCCTGGCTTTATACTTTTTCTGCCACACATGCACATGCTTCCACACATATATTCCATGATCTGCTATAGGCATGAGAATATGAAACAAATAGGAAAGGCAAAGAGACCCTCTGTTCTCTGTAAACTACTGTATTGCCATTTCAGGTCCACTGTAGGACATAGCAGTGTTCATTCCTTAAATGATTACAATTCATGAAGCACCCAATGACACTGCATATTCACCACTCCATTTAAAAGATTTAATTACACTGTAGTTCATATTTTGTAACATATTAATATAAAGACATTTGGAGATGGCCAAGACACCTATAAAAAAAGCTAATGGCTGAAAAATAGTTAAATTTTTTTAATATAGTTGAAATATAACAGAAGTGGGTTTATGTCAAAAGAACTTGATGCAATGAAAGCTAGTAGCCTCTTAAACTTAGTTTATACTTACAAACCCCAAATGTAAAACAGATTGTTGCGCGCGCGTGCGCACACACACACACACAAACACACACACACAACAAATAAACAAAAAAAACTGGATTCCTATAGGAGACAAGCAAAGTTCAGAGCTCTGCAATACCCCTGGGGCCAGGTGGCATTTGTGTAGGTGAAGTTAGCAGAGGCTTAAGAAGAAACAGAGCTTTGTCAATTTCCAGGCTGGCTACCTGTCGGAGGGAGTCAGAGGAAGGAGAGGCAGGGCGGCTGGAGGAGCGAAGATTAAGAGAAAGCTCCCACTGGTGGACAAAAAATCGTCGAGAAGGTTCAGGCCCTGGCTATAAAATACAAGATGAAGAAAAAAAAAATCAAAGGAAACGTTTTAAGTAAGTTACAGATTGGCCTGACCATAAGGCCAGTTTTGGGTCTTTTTAAACTTTAGACCATTATTTAAATACATAGTAAAGACATATCCTTAGTACCCAGAAGCATGAATGGCTCAATCAAGGCTTGCATTTTGCTTTTAGTTCACCCTTCCCTCCTGCTTCTAGGGATGCTTGAGCTAGAATATGATTATCATAGCCATGAGTACTCTAAAAGTGTTCTTACTTCATTTTCCCCATGTAGATAACACTGTCAGCCACAGGTGGCCAGAGGCAGAGGCGATGTCCTGCTCACCCACATACTCTGTGCTCTGCACAGTCTCTCACCAGCCTGAGCTGGGATTTCTCCTGGGCAAGAGATACTACCACCTATCACTCCACTAGCCTTATAAATAGCAAACAGTAGAGACAGCAAAGTTAGAGTTAAGCTTGCTACTTCTACATAAAGCCTAGGGATGTTGCTTTTCCTCCTCCTATTGCTAGTGCTCAGAGAAACTCTGCTCACCAAGGAGCCAGGCAAATCCCAGAAATTATCTGGAGAAAAGACTTGAGCTCTCAAGTCCTGGGCAGGATGGATGCAGTATGTGTACAAGTCAGTCCCTTGACAATGAAGGTAGCCAAGAGCATTAACAAACAATGAATGCTTAGTTTCCCAGCAGGTTCAGGTGAAATACTCGCAGGAGAGAGAAGAGTATTATCCTGGTAAGAAGACTCTTTGCCCCCTACCCCTAAGCAGACCTACTGTGCTGCTATTTCAGCCCACACTAACTTCATAGCTTAGAAATTATCTGGAGAAAAGACTTGAGCATTTCTTCATAGATTGACAATGTGAATGCCACCAGCCTCTGCTCAGCCAGCTCATAGGTTCTCAACTCAGAACTCACGGGCCCACGGAGGAGCATGGGGAGATCACCATATAGGAGTGTGACCCACTAGAAAGAAGACAAAGCTTTCCCAAGGTGGCAGAGCAATGGAAGCTAATAGGGGAAGGGAGGAAATGAGAAGATGGTGGGGCAGAGGGCAGGTGAGTACACAAGCACAATTAGGGGATAGTAGAAAGTCCTGCAAGAGAACATAAGAGACTCTTAAAAACATCTAGATAGGACTTGCACTAAAGAATCTGGAAATCATCCTTTTGGTAAAATGAAGAAAAAAAACTCCCTGCAATTTTGCTATCTTTCCTCCTGTACACCACAGCCCTAGACTTTTAATATTCTTTCCTTGCCCAATTCTCCTTTTATTCAACACTAGAGGTCCGGTGCACAAAATTCGTGCACTAGGGGAGGGCACGGTAGGGGGGGGCAAGCCCAGCTTGCACCCTCTCGCAGTCCAGGAGCCCCCGGGGAATGTCCAACTGACGGAGTAAGCCAGTAGTTAGACATCCTTAGTGCTGCCACAGAAATGGGAGAGACTCCAGCCACCACTGCTGCGCTTGCCAGCCATGAGCCCGGCTTAGGGCTTCTGGCTGAGCAGCACTCCCCTGTGGAAGTGCACTGACCACCAGGGGGCAGCTCCTGGTTGAGTGTCTGCCTCCTGATGGTCAGTGTGTCATAGCAACCAGTCACTCCATTGTTATGTCAATTTGTATATTAGCCTTTTATTATATAGGATACTTCTCTCCATTCTTCATGTCAGTTTCAGTAAAAATCATTAAAACCTCATTAAATATATATTCCCCAAAATGTAGGGCATTGCCCCACTCAGTGAAAGTGGCTCGTTTTCTTTTTGAGAAGAATATAGAATGGGAAAAAGACAGAGGCTGGACACACACAGAGCTCATGAGGAAGCAGTCC